CCCACAGTTTCACAGTCAGGTATGACCTGAAAAATGGCTGGTCATGTCTGACCCCTTACATCTCACACTGGGCCTGCCCCCACTTTCCAACCTCCTCCTTTCCACCAGCTCTCAGAGCATGCAGTGAGTCACTGAGCCATTGATCCAACTGAAATCAATTTGGTTTTCCTCTGGAGTTAGTTTTCAACTTGGATCACCAGGCTGATCTAGCTCACCATGGGGCCATGCAATTGCTATAACCCATCACAGAAATCAGCAGTCAGGAAGTGAGAGGCACCACACCTCTAGTAATAGGAAAAAAAAAAAAAAAAAAAGTCTCTCTATTCATCTGACTTGCTGTACAATCAATCTGAATCTGATCAATCTTCCTAAACATTTCTTGGTGAATACCCATTAAATAAAAGCTTTCTGTTCAGAGCAGAAAAAAACCACCACATCATCCAAAATAAAATAAAATAAAATAAAATATGTTTTTTCCTTTCTCATTAATTTCCTCCTCACCCAAAATATTCTGGCCATTCTTCTTAATTTAAATATTTCATTTCCTCTCCTTGGAGATGCTAAAGTCTGTATTAGACCAGATGTCATCTCCTGCACTTGACTACTAATAATATTTCAACAAATGTGAAGATGCTCCACAGTTTTTCTACTACTTGGTACTCAGTTCACATTTCCAGATTGTATGCAGCCTCTCCTTGTCTACTCTTAACTTGTTTTGGGTATCAGCATGCAGAGTAACATACATAGCTTTTTCACAGGCTCACAGTTGCACACACAATGCTAAACTTAACAACAGCGGCAAATGATTTAACCCCAACAGTTCCCATTTTGGGACAATGCAGCAATTTAGCACTATTTCTCACAAGATTTTGAGTTGCCATTCTTATATTTAAAAGCAATTAGAAACTCTTTGCCTAGCTTTTTGCCATCAAGTTCCGTGTCTTCCAAAATTGTTATATTGATATTGCACTCCCTGTTTAAACATAGATGGCATGCTGATAACAAGACATTAGGAGGCTGCTTTCCCTCTTTTAGCAATCCTCTTTCTCCCACAGTACAATATGGAAGAAACCAGGAGTCTGTCAATTGCCCCATTCACGTGACAACTCTTGCAGGCTGTATAACCAATGCTTTAGGTGCAATCAAGAGAAAGCAGCTGATGATCGTTTTCCCTGGATGAGCAAGACTTTAAAAAAAAAAGAAATGCCTGGATTTCTTTACAGATCATAATTACAGTAGACAGCCATTAACCTGCTTACCTGCCCTTAATTTTTTTTAAATGAGCTCATCTTTCTCCACTTCATTTTTCTCCTCCCTCATCCATTCTTCTCCCAGACTGCAGCAATAACATGCTTTTATTCTTTCCTTTTGACTGCCAGGGCCTTAAACTAATTATTAATTGAGAATATATCTAAAGGATCTGAATGAGAAAGTTGGAATTAACCCAATTGCCTCTTTCCCCCTTTTATTTTGCATATTTGAACACTAGGTCTACCTGTCAGCACTATTGAAAACAGCAAATGTGGCATTTTCCTTTCAAAGGCAAGTTGCTTGGGCAAAAATATGCAACAGCAAAAAACAACATGGAAAAAAAGGAAGTACCTGGAAAAGGCCTCAGCTTTGAGTGAAAGCAAGCTGTCTACAGTTTAAAATTCTCTCAACAACTTTGCTGTCCTGTAGAAAAATCCTGCAGCAAACGGCATCCTGCATTTAGGAAACCAGACAACTGACACTTCATCAAAAGGCTTGTCCTTTAGAGAGGCTAGAACGGCATGACCCGACACTGCCTGCTGCTGCAGAGCTGGCTGGTTGTACAGCTCCAACTCATCTTGTTTCCAGTTGTTAAATTACATTAAAGGACAGCTAAAAATATATTAAATATTTTCCTATTACTTTTCCATGCAAGCAACTGCTATAGTTACAACAAGAGTAATGTCCAGGCAAAGGCTGACTAACATGGGGGGGTGAAGGGGAAAGTCCAGGAATCCCTCTAACCCGTGCCCAATCAATGGCTAGCAAACGCAGATTTTTTGCTGAACTGAGGCATTTCTTACAGTCAAAAGATAAAAATATTTACACTTGCCAAAATGGGCAAACAAATCTGAGCCATAGTTTTTACTCACTTCTACCCTAAATTCTCGCCTTTTTTTTCTTTTAAAACACACCAGAATTTAGCAGTCTGCCTGTGACACCTAAATTCTGACAAATTCACACTGGTACGCCCCTGTTAAAGATTACCCACAAATGAAAAACAAGGAAGACCCGTTCGAAAAACCCGATAATCAACGTTGAAACACTTGTGACACAAATGAGTGCTAATTGATTGAAGATCTCCAGGTCTCTATCGCCATCTAGCGAACACTGCCCGCCATTATCACACTGTCCCCTCGAACGCGGTCCCTGAGTGACAACAGGATAAACTCTGCTGGATCCAGCCTGCCCATGGCCAGGGATGCAGGGCTTTGCTACATTTCTATTCCCTGGCTGAAGGAAAACGAAAATCAAACACAGTCCCTCTAGTACCTCTCTACAGCTGACCGAGGAGAATTGAGCTTTTATGGATCACGCCGTCACAGAACCGCAGAATGGATCCTAAGGACCATCTACTTCAACCTTCTGGCTATTTAAAAATGGCCTTTCCACACCATATTTAATACTCCTGCCATCCAAACTAAGTGAACATGTCAGGTTCTACTAATATAGTCACATACAAGTTTTTATAACGGCAATGTGTAATTACAAGTATTTTTAGTCACCATAAGGAGCCCAATGGCAGCTCCACTACTTTTACTGCACCGGCATCTCCAAACCACAGAGAGAAGTCAAGTCCAGGAGATGTGGTACTCAGCACTTGGCATCAGGTGCTTCCATCTTCCCACAGCTTCAGTGGAAAGGTTGTCAGCCACACAGTTGAAAAGCATCAATTTACAGGACTCATCAAAACTCATTCTCAGCTACATTAAAACTTAATGCTAGGATGAGCTTTAACAATTTCAACATGAAATACATATTTCCCATTTTCAATTATTCTGCTAAGACTTACGACTGAACTGTAATTGTGTTAGTGAAAATATTAAGTTCAGTTTTCATCCCACACACTATTTTTCCCACTTAGACTTCTATAAGCCTACCTGCATTTACTCAGGTGCCCTTGACAACAGTAAAAAAAACAAAAAGGCATTAATTGCTGATCATCAGAAAAGGCCATTTAAATTTAGACCATAAATTTTCCATAATAGTTACTTTTGAATTAACCTTTTCCCATAGAGAAACCAAACCTCCAGATACTTAACATTCACTTCTTTTATATTAGAACTGAGAGGTGAGAAGAAACCTATGAATAGAAAGACTAATATAAAAATTTAAATTTAAATTTTAATTAAATTTAATTTTAACTTTTAAGATTAGATATTTCAATTAAAAAAAAAAAACAAAGAAAAAACCCAACAACAACAGAAAACTAACGCATCCTCATGTCATCTTCCGTGGCAAAAACTCAAATGTGTGCAAAGGTTCAGCAAAAGCCAGCACAGGTCCAGCACCACCAGAATTTAAGAGGTAAGAAATCCTGCCCAACCAAAGATCAACTACATAAGAGAAACCATCTCTTAACTCCCTAGCACATTCTGTAGCACCTATTAGGATGCCCCCATTTCACCATCACTCTAGAACATAAAGCAGAAACACCAGAATTTCACATAGTGATCTCATAACTGATACATTACAGACAAATGAAAATAAACTCTGTGTGCAAACAAAAAGTATTTCCCAATCTTAACAGAGGTCAAAAGCTTAAGTATCCACAGAATACCAGGCTTGTGGCAGATGGTCCATATGACATATGAAGATCGTTTAAAAAAAAAAAAGTTCATTACTTTTAAAATACCACTAGAAAATACAAAGCTATGATACTCATCTGCTTTACACACCAACCTCATAGACAACATGAGCTTGAATCTTACATCAACAACCACAATACCTCGTTAAAGGAAATACTAACTTGTGGATTCACATGGCTCCATGGCCCATTTACAGTTACCAAACTGGGAAATTATTTCTGAGTTAAACAGATGTGTAAGGTTAAACATAACTGCTTACATAAATTGGGAAGATGGCAAATGTGGGTTTCTCTCTAGAGAGCTGTTTAGATAGGAAGATAATTAAAAACAAGGATGTGTTGCCAGAAATAAAACACCCCCATGCAATTGAGCTGGGAATTGTGAAGTGGGTGTGCCCTCCCATGACAGGGAGGATGATCCAGTTAACAGGGATGTGACCTCATCCCTCTCCCTGATCAACCAAAAGGCTGACCAGCCATCCTGACACAACTGTTCCTGGCACCTCTGCAGACTCCTGCTTGGTATTCTCTTTTATAAAGAACTAATATCAAACATCATTATGTTTTAAGGCAATAAATGTATATCAGTGGTATGTTTTGGATCATTAAAGATTATTTTTCCCGCAGGGACAAAACCGATGTGGTCTGTACTGAGCTAACATCCTAATCAATAGCAGGAGTAGTTTTGCCTATGAAGTGCAACTCCTAAAATAAAATTTGAGGCTAATGAGAAACCTTATTTTAAGGAACAAACAGTTTCCAAAAATAAGCCCTGATACATAATCCATTGCCTCCATGATTAATTAGCCCTGTCACAAACTTTAGGGTTTTAGGAAGTCATATCAGACCACAGGACAGTCTGGCTACAAGCAAGCTCATCCAGAGCTGAAGTATACCACCAAAACAAAGACAAACCTACCAAGCAGAACTGGAAATTCATGGAAAATGTGAAAGCAGCCTTGATTTGTTGTTGTGGTTGTTGTTGTCACCACAATCTGGCCCGTTGAAACCAAACAGTTTCACAATACAAGAAAGATAAACTAAAGAGTTCTGAAACCAAAAGCAGGTTCAAGAACAAAACCATTCTTGTATTCATTGAAAAAAAGCAGGTGGCTTAAATTCAGCCTTTTTACATGTGTGTGTACCCTGTATAAAGACTTACCTCTCTCCCTTTATGTGTCACCAAAGCAGCCAAAGGCTTGGCATAGAATCTGCTGTAGGAAAATCCCAGGCAGCCATACATGCTGTTAGCAGTGAGTTTCAAAGCTTTCTGTCTGATATCATACTGAAAAGAAACATAACCAGAAAAATGATCCAACCACAGCCATCAGGGAACAGAACTTAATGCTCACAATTACATTCACAGCTTTTTTATACAGTCTGCAGCAGTGATGGGCTACAAATAAAGCACATTACAATCACTGCTCTCTACTAATCATCCCTATTCTACAAGGCTGATCAGGGCACTTAAGGGGAAAGGGGGAAAAATCAACTGAGTTCTATAAAACACACCTGTAAATAGAGGTCAGGATTTAAATCTGGCTGTTTCATTAACTGCTTAACTTGGCGTCTTCTCTCCACCAGCTTCCTGATTTCTTTAGGCAAAATTCCCATTTCCAGAGATGGGTCTGGAAGCTCTGGAATTTCCTCCTCTTCTTCAACCTGTGAAGTGATCATCGCTGCTTATCATTTTATTGCTTGAAGATTAGATTTTAATGCATTAAGTGAAAAGCATGGGGGGGGAAAAACCAAAACCATACATGTTGTGCTAATGCCTGTGCGAATGCAGAGCACATAAAGCACAGTTTAGAACAAGCATGAGAGGTTTTTTTTGCAGTGTTTAACTGTATTACTTTGGCCCTGGTGGGAGACAGGACCTAAGACTGTTTCACTGTTGGAGAAACACAAGGAAGGCATGGACCAGTAGCAAGAGGGTCTTTTTTTTATCAGTCTGTGTGTTATGTACCTACATACATACATACATACATATATATACATATATATATATATATATAAATCCAGATAAATAACACGCATTCTCACTCTTGGGTACCCCATGACAGGTATATATAGATAACTCAAAAAATATAAAGGAAAGTACACAGACAGCAATTCTTTCTGTGCAGAAAAATCCACCCCTTTTTTATCATCACATACTTTTGGTGCTCAGACCTGTCAAAAGGAGCATGTGCTCTGTGGAACTGATACTTTGAATGATACAAGTGACAAAAGTGAAAGGGAGCACAGCAGTAGAACAAAAACTTCACCCCAAGCAACTCTTGATTATAGCAAAATAGCAGAAAGGACACCTTCTTAGCATGACTGAAGAAATGGTTGATCAGCAAAAATGGAAAGGTATTTCAAGCACAAGGAAAGTGACAGATGTGTACAAAGGAAGAGCAATAGAGACACGGTGAGGTTGGAAAGTTTAGTAACGCAGTCTGAGGAGAACAGTAACAAGAAATTACACCAAAGCCTGATTAAACATCATACAGCAAGAGAAATCAAAATTAGCTGCTTCAGATTGAAGCACACTTCAGAAAGCAGGGAAAATCCAAAGACCGCTTGAAGGAACTTACTGACAGCTCCACATACTTGTCTCCTCATTTCTGCTACTTTTTTCATATTTCAGTTGCTACAGGACCAACTAATTCCAACCTATGAGCTGATGCCAGTTAAGAATAAAAGCCTCTGGTTTATTAACCTTTAGACCTGACCAGCTCAATGCTTCAGTTTACAACACAGCTCCACTAACAAGTGTTTTCAGCATAGCTGAGAAAGTGAGATTCTCCAGTCATGGATAAGCCAGAGCCAACACAGCTGCTTATAAAACAGCACATCCAACTGTACCTTCAGGTTTTTCAGTTGTGTTTAATATAGTTTGAACAGCATGAGTTTTTGTGAAGCTGGTGCCACAGCTCACACAGTCACAACATCACCCTCCCAAGTCACACACATAAATTCCTGATGTCTAATAAGGCTTGAGATCATAATCATATTCTTTCCTGTAGAAAGCATGAGACTTTTGCCTGCCTCCATCAGGTATAGTTGCATGAATTCTGTAGCAATTTAACTTCAGGAAGCCTCTAACAAGCTAAGATGAAACTAGTAAAGGGGCTCAGAAATTTCTAGGGAAGACATGTGGCTGAAAAGGGTCACAGAGCCTCAGTAAAAATCTTGTTTCATGAGGATACCAAGATTAGATGGGAGACAACTTACCAAGATTCTGTAAGAGTATTGCAGAAAGGAAGGTGACAGACACAAAATATTCAAAAAAGTCCCAACCCACAAATTATACTATGTATCTTTAAACAAGAATCACTATTTATGGGTGAAAGGGGACCAAAAAAAAACAAAAAAGTGAAAAAGAACAGTTTCTTAAGGAACTGATTGCTAGAAAACACTCTGAAGTTAAGACAGTGTAATTTAAGCCACAAGTTAAAGCATGCAAACCTCTGCCCTTTTCTGTGCTTCTGATGACAGTCGCTGCACCGTGGTAAAGCAGATGTTGAACTCCTGAATAATCGATGGGTACAAGCTATTGAAGTCGAGAAGCAAAATAAACTTGTCATAAAAACCTAAAACAGAGTTTAAAACAAAAGTCATAATTACTCAAGTCTCCCAAAGGACTTCATACAACTCCACAATTAATATTTAAGTGACAGTAACACAGTGTACCACATTTCCAGAATCTCAATCTCTTCAAGCAGCTGTTGAGATGCACCACTGCCTTTTAAAAAAAGCTGTCAGAAGTGGAACGATCCAACCCCATTAACTCATCAGAGTTGAACAGATAGCTTCTGTGTTACTATAGGACACTTGTACAGTTTTCTCCACATAGAGGAGAAACTGAAAGAAAACTTACGTGTCCATTAGAAAATTATACATAAATATACAGTCCTAACTCCTCAAAAGAAGCAATTCCACAATCACTGTTGGATATTTTGTTGTATGCAACAAGATTCCCCTCACAACCACAACACCAAACTGACACAAACACAGACTTCCCACTGCAATTTCTCTGTATTAATATAACCCACCTGTCTCTAACTTCATTGAAGAAAGAAAATTGCCACATCTTACCAACTTTGGGATCCAAGACTAAGCCCCCAGCATATGCTGCTTTCTTTTTCCCTATCTTTGATTTATTCTGATCTTCAAAATCTTCATCTTCATCCACCTACATTTGGCATTTAAGAAAGTCATTATCTAGTCTCTAAGATTTCTGTAATGTTAGAGGAGTTATTTTTGGCAAGTCAAATACAAATTTGTGAGCCAGTGCAGAATTCCTTTTAAAATACATGCAAAACACGGTGTTTTCATCATGATCCTTACTAAAGCTCTCTACATGTCAAAACAGCATTCAAACCAACTATGATATGAAAAAACTGCTAACAAGAGATTATGAAGACATTAAAGTATTGTCATCATTCAACATGGCACCAGAATGCCTTTTCCAACTGGCTGTAAAAGTCCACACTACGAAAAAAATCAAATCATGACCTAGAAGTGGTATGACTGCACAATTAAAATGTGGATTTTGCAAACAGAATGGCTGGGCTTGAATAAAACAAATAAAAACATTACTACTGACCTAAAGAACATTCTGCTATTTGTGATGTTATAATAAGAATTCTTCTCCCAATTGTTAATTCTATTCTGAATCATTTAGAATTCCAGTGTTACTTTGATACAACAATACAATCAACAGAAATTATTGCTTTCAAGTTTGCTGTTTAACTTATTTAAAACCAAAATGCAAAATAAAGTGAAATACAAATACTTTCTCAAATTTTAATTTGTTCACTAACAAACATCTGGATATTTCTATAATTATTATTTACACTAGTATTATACAAAGAAATTTTCTTCTAATACCTTTGGATATTTAATCCATATAACACATTTTTCTTGAAATACTGTTTATCAAAATAAGTAAATGCAGATATTAAATAACATAGATTGCCTACTGTTTCCCCACACAGACAAGTACTTCGCTTATTTTTAATTTAAATAACAGAACAAGTAAGTTTTTATAGGTCTGTGATGCAATAGAAAAGCTATTACACTGTCCCACTCTCATTATCGATTCCACACAAAAAAATCAATGTTTTAACTAAGCATATGCTGTACCATTAAGTTATATCTGAGTTATCTTTGGGGTTCTTTGTGTTTCCACAGAATAATAACATGCAAAAGATGGAAGAATGTTTTTTCCTTTTTTTTAAATAAAAATGCTTGGGAAGAGAAAAATTGGACCCACCAGCTTCTGTGGAGGCTTTTTGAAAACTTGTTTGTCTGGCACTATGTAATCCTTCTCATGAAAGGCATGAAGCAGCAGGAACTCATTACGTTCAGATCGTCCGCCCATCATTGTCCTCGACTAAAGAGAGGGTGAAAAGAGAACTCAAAGAAAAGCACAGAAAACACTGACAGCAAAACAGACTAAGCAACGTCCTCCAATTATTAAAATTCACCTAGTATTAATATTATTCTGTATCATCACCATGTGTAAAACTGAAATGTGGTATTTTTAAGGAAGTTTTACATTATTACTTGATTAGAATATTGAACTCTCCTACTCATCACAGCAAAAAATTTACAGCATAGTGCATTTCAAATTAGTGTTTAGAAATTAAACCCAGCAAATCAAACACAGAAAATATGGAACTGTTTGGGGGAGGGAGTGGAGAATGGTGGAAAGTAATAAAAATGTACCATGACATTCCCAGAGATGTTTGTTATCTGAAGAGCCAGGGGCAGAACATTCAGCTCACACATGATCTGGAGAATGAACTTGGCATCTATCCAGGTGTTTTCCAGCATGAACAGTAAGCGAGGAGATTCACTGGGGAAAGAAGGAGCATGGCCTAGCAAAGTAAAATCAACCTCCTTTGTAGTCTGTAGAGTTTAGACCCATGTGCTGTACAGAACACATGACATCTGCAATGCACAACTGATGAGCTTTATAGAAAGCTCTTGTAATTGAAAAACCACCCCAAAACTCAGGCTTGCATCTCCTGTTACTGTGTCTACACCAATGCTCCCACAAATCTATTTGCTTCATACATGAGCCACCAGTAGCCACCACAAGTAGCTTGAAGCATTATTTTATAATGTTAAGACAGTACTTTTCAAATCCCAGTATGCCAAGTCAGCATCCCCATGACAAATCAAGCAAGCAAAAGTAAAACTTTATGTCAGGGAACCAGCTCCTCTGCTCTCCAGAGGAGGCTTAAAACTCCCGATCAGCAGCATACCTGTACATATTTCGAACTTCCTCTGGTAGAATTGTTACCTTCTCTGTCTTCAAAATCTGGTGGACTAGTTCAGACAAATGGTAACTTTTGCAACGAATTAGTTCTTTAGCAGAAATTTCTACATCACAAATCATTCGACCGCAGGCAGCATTCCTTTCACCAAACCCTCCTCGGCCCTTCATCATATTACATAAGGAGAGAAAACCCAAATAAAGTTAAACATACAAACATTAACAAAAAACATCTACCCTCAATATACATTTATAGGACTCAGTCAAGTCAGTAGTCAAGTCAGTAGGTCACTAAGTGTTCAAATACTCTATTAAATACCACTAATACTCAAGGACTTACAATTATGCTCTAAAAGAGCCCATGGTATCTTTCACTTTATGTAGGTATTAAGAAATAGTTAACTTTCACTACTAGTTATAACTTAACTCTTAAACTATAGTGGGGTTTTTTTGTTTTTTCAGTCATTAGAATAGCCCCAAAAAGAACCTGGGTGTGGACTTTGTCTTTCATCCAAGGATACTTTTTGTAATAACAGCAGGATGAAAAAGTTGCAGAACCACACAGAAATACCCAACTTTGCCTCAGGAAGGACAGGAACAGGCAAAGAACACAGCCATGTTCAGCACTTCAATACTCCAAGCTTCACACATTGTCCTCTGAACGAATATATAATAAGAACTACAGAATTTTTACCTTAGCAGCTCTCTATGGGATGATTCACCCATCAATCCAAATTGCTTTTTCTCATTTTACCGTTATAGCAGACAAAGACAGTTACAGTAAAGACTATTGCAATTAATCTGTCATTACTATCATCTAGTTGAGATAAGTAAACTAAATTAGCCTAACCTGAAAATCAGTTTATCCTATTACTGTAATAAAAGTCATACAAACACTCATAATTTCTGATCTGGGACCCACGAAATTCAGCATGACCAGCAGTCAAAATACATCAATGTCACATTTACAATTCCTAGGAAAAACTAATTTGTTTTTAATCAAATGCAACATAAAGGGGCTTAAAAGACTTAAGCAATCTTATTACCCCAAGCTTTGGCATATTAGATCTCCTCAGTCGACCTATCTTGGACCAGTGAGGGACTTTGCACAAATTAATTCTTTGAAGCAGCACTTCCAGATCAAATCCATAAATATTATGACCCTTGAAGCAGAAAAAATAACAAAAAAGGTTACAATAAATGCAAATTGAAAGACTTACTTTCACACACTCAGTATTCCTTTGCCCTTTGTGATTTTTTCCAACTAATTGATGGCATTATCTCCCTTGTAGAAAGCACTTTCTAAGAGAACATTCATCAACAGTACTCATTAGTCTTAACACTAACAATGCTGTTCAGTAGAATACCAAAATCAGCTCTATAACTGGCTCATAGCACACACAATACAGCTTCATCCTTTGATACCAGAGCTTAGGATTTAAAGCTTTCCAGAAAAATCCACGACATTCTTCATAGAGCATATAAACTTAAGCTAAGAGTAATTCCTTTTCTCTCCATCTGTGAAAGTCACAATAGTGGCATCAAAATACTGTAATTTTTTTTTCCTTTGATACTTCTACAGGAACAGCTGTTAAATTTTAACCTTGCAAGCAATATTTACATATCAAAGCACTCCAGCAATATTTTAAACAGTGTTAAGTACATTGATGGCACTGGTCTGTACCCTTAGCTGAAAGCAAAAGGCAACCCTGAGGAACATGAGCCAGACACCAGGAACTGCAGGTCCACTCCAGCAGGTACCTCTGTGCAGTGCAAGACTGTGCAAGACTGCAGCTCCTTAAAATGGGAGCAGCACTTCAACAGCACTACTTAAACCAGGTGCAAACTGAACTGCACTAACAGAGCTCTGCAGTTTTCAGGATAGGAGCTCTCACACCCCTGCTCTTGGCATCTTCAGTTTTAAGCCACTGGCTGCAGTGCTTCTTCTGATTCCTTGCCAGAGCCACCAGGCAGCTGAGGTCATAGGGCAAACACTGGATACCAGCTGCAGTGAGCTGAAAACATCAGGCATTGACTGCTCATTTCCCATCACTTAATTATTTGTATCTACTCACAGACATTAGGTAAATACATACATCCTAACAAGTTGTATATAATCAACCGCAGACTTACATCCAACTTGAAACTGTCTTCAGAATTTTATTACGTGAAAGTCAGAACGGCACATTAATTAAACATAACAAAAAAAAGAAAATGAGTAATTACAATAAACCCTCAACTACTGAAACATAAGAATGCTTATTGCAAAATTTTGCTCAGATCTTGTGGATTTGTATAGATCGTTATTTTGATTTACAGCATAAATACAAATTATATGAGCATCTGAACTGCAAGAGAATCTTAAGTATACCAAGAGTTCCTATTTTTCTAGGAAATCATCAGAGTTTTTGTTGTGTTTTGTCTTTCTGAGTAAAGAAAAAAAACCAAACTTGTTTCAGGTATTGTGAAAATACTGCCTATTTTAGCTATTATGGGAAATAATAGTATGTATAAAATGCTGTCAGGGAAAATTCTCTATCATCTTTGTATCAAAATATACCTGCTGTCTCATAAGCAAACTCAATTCATAAGGCAGTCTAAGACAAGCATTAAAAAGCCTATAAGGGGACAAAAGAAAAAGAAGAAAGCTGACCAACTGACAATATGCTTTAATTTAACTCTCAAAGTCTCAGAACTACTCACCACAACAACGTCTGGGTCAATTTTGTGAATCTTCGCAAGGAAAAATCCCAGCAGTGTTCTCTCTGTTGCAGCAATTTCTATTTTAGCATTCTAAAAGGAGCAAGAGAGGCACCTGATTTCAATGACCCAATAAGTTTAAAATGGAAGCATCTCCTCTCCCCTGCTAGTTACAAGACAATAACAAAGCACCAGAGTTCTGCTTTTCCTTCTGTAATGCAAGGATTTTTTTTCTCACTCCCATAGACATTGGAAAGCTCTTCTCAGAGGCTTTTTCCCATTCTGCTTTTGAATGCAGGTGTCTAGTGATATTTTAAGAGCCTCGTAAGAATCAAGCACACTAGGAAAATGCTCCATATGCATCCTTCACTCACAGACTTTAAGATCACACAGAAATAGAGGAAAAACAAGAATTGGTTACTTTATTATTCTGTCAGCTCTCCCACCACCCTTTAGAAAGGACATGTTCTAAATTTTGACAGACTTTACTCTGCAAGAAAAGAAGAAACAAATTCTCCCAGTTTACTGTGAGTGCAGAGTCAGGTATACTGAATATTAACCACAATTTTAGCCTCTTTGCAAAATCTTTCCAACTCTCCTGTCTAACACCCCATCTATTTGAAAAGCACAATTAGCAGCAGTACTGAGTCACACAGAGCACACAACACTTTTTTACAAGCAACACAGAATAAATACCTGGATTTAAATTTGCAGAGTGGAAAACTAACTAAATAATCATTCCATTCCTTCGACTATTTCTCTTCACCACTTACCAAAACCACCATGAAGTTCATATTCTACAAGGTACTGCAATCAGAAGGGTAACAAAATGAAATTACCTTCTTTTTAACTGCTTCTTTGAAGTCATAAGGAAAAATGCAATCACTCGGTTTGGAAACGGCTGCAAAAAGTGATATTTGTACTTACAGACAAGTTCCTAATTGTACTCTCCCCATAAGCACCCATTCACAACAAAGTGAGCTGAAAAAACTCATCTCTAATTCTGAAACACCAGCTTTTAGTGAATATTGTCTTTAAGATAACCAAGTAATTACTTCAACATTAACCAAACTGAATCAGTCATACTGGTGATTATCATTGGACACTAAAACTATGGGCCACAGCTCCTGAAGAACTTCCTCTCACAAACATTCAACACCTCATCACTTCCAGTCAGGGTTTGAATCTCAAGGTTTAGTTGATATTACTGCAATGACACTGCAGCAAGATTGTTATTCCTGAAGAAAACTTGTTTATAAGTAATTCTGTTCAGAAGAGCTGAACAGAAAAATAATTGAAGTGACAACAAATAAATGGTCTAAATTAATGGGCAGAGAAAGATGGAGTAAAAACAATAAAAATTATGGGAAACTGCACAGAGCAGGGTAACTTGGCATTATCTCAATTTAAGATTTTTTTTTAATTAAGTCTTTGATAAAAAGTCAGTAACCAGTGAAGTCAAAAATGGGGAGAAAAGCCTGTCTGGGAGATGAAATTTTGTCAGTTGTGTATTTTTGGCCACTTTTGCTGTACTGACAGAAAGAAATAAAAATTTTAAAAAATTTATGAATATAAACCTCCCCCCACAGCCAAAAAAATCAAAACAGAACAAAAAAAAATACAGAATTTATTATTTTTCTACTCAAACTGTTCCAAGTACATACCACAGAAGTGTGTTTGAAAAGGAGGCTGAGGTGGAGCCTTATCCAAAGGAAATTTCTGATGAACTAGAGCTGCAAGAGCCACAACCTATACCAAGGGGACATAGAACACATAACTTCATAAGCACAAATGAGCATGACTACTATCCATACTCATTTCTTCCATCCTTTTTATTAAGTTTCTCATTTCTGTTCTCTTGTTTCTCCAACACATCTTTCTTGAATTTATTCCAGCTACAAATAGTTGAAAAGGAAGAAAGTAATCAACTGATCTCAAAGAAAATAAAACAGTACTTGCTCCTAAATGATTATAAATTTGAGAGAAATAATAATTCACTTTGGAAAACTTCTACTTTCTTTTATCAGTTTTTGTTCTGAATCCAACCAGAGACAACATAAAGGATTCCCCATGGAGTGCAGGGGAGATGTGAGCAGGGCAGAGAAGCCTTGCCTCAGGAAGGGCTGTCCCTAAGCAAGCAGTCAACACTGTCAAGAAGCCAAGAGGTTTAGTGTTTGGAAGCCATTAGCTTTAATGATGATTTTGACTGCTTTGCTGGCAGGATGGCCTGGCTCCCCAGACACTGATCAGAAAAACCCAACAGAAGACCAAGCAGAAAGGTTTTAAAGCATCTTGGCAAGCAGAGTCCTGTTGGTATCTTGTGTATGTCCTGTTACTTTGGCCAAAAAACACTTATTTTCCATACTTCCACCAAAAAAATTTTTAATTCATCACGAGGGATAATTCTTCTTGAAATATTTGCCAACCTATTAGTCTTCAATTCAATTAGCAGAAACAACTATCCTATCCTATTAGTGAATACTAAATCTCTTCCAACATTAATGAGAGCTATGTTAAAAAAAAAAAAAAAAGTGCCTAAGTACACATTGTGGTCTGCAGTCCACAACTGAGTGGCTGCCTAAATCTCTCCTCTTTTTTGTGGAAAGATCTTACAGCAGAGTAGCAGGTGCTCTAAGATGAAGACCCAATTCTCATTTTAAAGTTAGTTTTATTAGCAGAAAAGCCTGGTCATTTTACCTATAACCCATGCTTACCTTTAGCTAAATTAATTAATTAAAACAAATTAATTAACAGGTGTGCTGAGACAGTCTCATTTATAACTATCAGGCACAACAGACAAAATAGAAGGCTTGAAAACATACATAGGATCCACTGTCACAGTAAATATTCTCACTAAGCAGGTCCTCTAGCCCAGAGTGAGACCACAGTAAAACTTTCTTTCAAGAGCACAAAGCAGAGAAACTTTTCAACATTAAATATATTTAAACATGTTTTATGAGACTCTTCCAAGTCTGAGGAAATTTTTAGTATATGCCAAAAAACAAAAACAAACCAAAATGAGAGCAGATTACTTACCTCATTCTGGTGAGTCTTTGGGTTCTGAACCGTCTTCATACTGACGGACATGACCACCAGAGGAGGAGGAGGAGCAAGATCTTTAACCACATTCACCAAGCCAGGCTTCATGGCAACAGCCTCTACTTTGCACCAGCTGACTGGCTGATTTGAAGGCTCTGAGGAAACAACACAAACCACCTCCATTCTTCTGGGAACCACAGACAAGGCTTCTCTCATCACTGCACAGAGCACATTCTTTAAATGTTTTGCCCTGGTGAGATAGTCCAAGACCCACACTAATCCTGCCCAATTTTTTAACTCCCTGGGCCCCGACTTCCCAGACAGCAGGAGCTCTTCAACACCAAATAAGAAAGAACATTTGGATCAAGGCCCAAAAAAAAATTCAGGAAGCTTTACATAGATCAGGACTGGTATCAGCTCTGTCAGTGACTGAGCGAGCTGCTGAAGAGGAGAACCCCTCTGGTGTCAGCATTCATACAGCCAGTTCTACACTGGAAGTGCCCCAAGGAGACCGTAGTAACAGATGTAGCTTTTGTTCAGTGTGATAAACATCCCTGTGTTCACAGGAATATGCAGCACACATTGAATAAGGGGCTCTTACCAAGCCAAAATAAAGGAGCATGACCACCTCTAAGTGCTGCATGCCATTCATGAGGCAGAAATTACTTAAAACTAAAACAGCTCCACACCAAACAAAAGAAACCCATCTAGCAGCCATTTATTCTTTAAAATATATGTTTGCAGCAAAAAACCACATAAGTTATCAAGAGCAGAAAGATGAGTCATTTTCAAGTCAAGTAAGTTTAGCTCCATATACACAGCATTAGGGTATGCATCAAACAGCAGCTGCACAGTTCCCCTCTCTCACAGGCATAAAAAGTTATAATCTCATCTGTACAGTGCACAACTTTATATGGATAGTTGTCACTCCAAAAAAAGGGAGAATAAGTTACAATTTGTACTAGATAATGAAAATTAAACCAGTAAATTGCAAGGCTACCGATTATGAAAATTAAACCAATAAGTTGCAAGGTAATGTACAAAATGATCATGCATCCATACAATTTAAATTTCCCCTCCCCCCCCCATCTATAATTATATGTGTTTTCTAGTAACCAGGTATTTCATATGCAAACCACCATACGTGGATTTTTTATTTCCAGCCAGCAGGGTCCTTTGATTTTCTGATTCATCAAGAGAAGTTCCAGGCTAGAGGTGTTGGTTCCAAAGACATGTGAGAATGTTTGTCCCTTGAGATCTTGGGGAAGCCGAGGGCATTCAGCCTAACAAGCAACAGAGAGGAGTGAGTCATTTCACCCCACAGAAGTCTTCAAGGCTGACACCATCTTCAGACAGCATCTTAACAAAACTACACAGTACCAAAAGCACTGTCATTCCCCACAAGCAAAGCCCTAACCCATAATACGTTACAGTAACTGAGGCAATCACACTGTAGGCTCCACTTAAAAATCAGGACAGTAATTTAAAAACACACTGAAGTTTTTCATCCACACTGGATACATCAGCCAGGACCACAATGTTCATTTTAATACAGAAACTGCTCACTTAACTAGATAAAAAAAACTAGTTATGGTATTTTATCAGGTTGATTATACTCACTGAATATTTAACCTCGAGGTACTCAGATTTTGCTGGTACATCCGGAATCTCAAAAGCGTAGTATTTTTCCACTTTCTATATAAAACAAATGTATTATATTTTCAGTATCTCCCAATTGAACATTCATTCTGTCCAATGAGAAAGCTAAAGAAAAAATAGCCAGGCAAAGCACGCATTTCTAATATCATGGGCTTGATCATGTATTACTAATTCTGCAACTCATTATAACCAGCTGAAGACAGTAAGAATATTTTAGTGCCCATTTTTAATCTCTAGATGTTTTCATAGCATGAAGAGTTTCTATAGAATTGACTTGAAAATATACTAACCACTTCCAAAAACCACTACCACCTGGTAGTTAGGCAAACTCACAAAATATTCTTTAAATTCACAGGTTTCAGACATACTCATGAGAATTGGTGGCTGGAGACAACCGCAAAATCCCAAAATGGCTGAGATGGAAACGGGTCTCCAGGCATTGTCTAGTCCAGCTGCCTGCTCAGAGCTGGGTCAATCACAGTGGGTTCCTCAGGGCTCTCTCCAGCCAGATATGAATATCCCCAGCCTCCAAGGATGGAGACTCCACAGCCTCTGTAGGCAACCTGTGCCAGTGCTTGATCTCCCTTACAGTGAAGCAGTGGTCCACATTCTGATAAATTTCATGTGTTTCAAATGTATATCTGTTGCTCTTGTCATCCATTGGGCACCAGCAAGAAGTCTGACAGAGTCATCTTTACTCGTATTCATCAAACATTTATAAACGTTTATAGATTAGATTAGAAGATTTGCACTGCCAATCCCTCATCCTGAATCTTCTCTTCTACAGGCTGAGCAGCCCCAGGCTTCTCAGCCTCTCCTCACATGACAGATGCTCCAGGCCCTGTAATTATCTTTGTGGTCCTATTCTGGATTTGTTCCAGTGGCACACATTATTCCTTACACAGAGGAGCTCAGCTGAACACAGCACCCCACAGGTGCTCACCAGGGCTGAAAAGGGGAAAGGACCAACTCTTGACACTTGCTGGTAATGTCCATGGCATTCTTTTCCCCAGTGAATGGCTCTTGCCCAGCCTCATGAGTACCAAGATGAGCAGGTCCTTCCCTCCAAGGCTGCTTTCCAGCCAGTCACCACCATCTATTAGTGCCTGAGGTTATTCCAGTCTTCATACAGGACCATTTCCTCTTTTTTCTCATATTTGATGGGATTCCTGTAGGTCATAAGATATTTCCAGCCTGCTGAAATTCCTTTTGACATTTCCTTTCTATCTGGTGTATCAGCCTCTCCTGGTTTTGGACTGTCTGCAGACTTGCTGTGTGTGTGCTATATGCAACCATCCAAATCATTAACAGGATGCTCAGCAGGACTGGATCCAGTATTAACCCTAGGGGTGCACCTCTAGGGACTGGCCTCCACCTGGATTTTGTGCCAGTGATCATAACACTTTGAGCCCAGTAGGGCAGCTGGTTTCCAGTCTACCCCTCTACCCACTTCACTAGCCCCCACTTCATCAGTTTGTCTGTGAGGATCCTGTGGCAGGCAGCACTGACAGCCCTACTAAAGTCAAGATAAACAACAGTCACTGTTCTCCTCTTGTCCACCAAACCAGTCCATCTCTTCCCAGAAGGCTACCAGCTTGATGAAGCATCACTTCTCCTCTCTGAATCCACACCAAAAACTGCCAAGCACCTTCTGACACTGGCCAGCTCCCTCTGCACACAAGGGTGCATCCCATCAGATCCCACATGCCTTCATATGTCCAGTTTGTTCAAACGTGCCTTAACCTCATCCTCCTCCTCTGAGGACAAGTCTTCTTTGCTTCAGACTTTCCTCCTGGTCTCTTGAGCATCAGATTGCTAAAAGCTGGACTAAGCAGTAAAGACCAAAGTGAAGAAGACATGCAGTATCACAGCTTATTCCATGACCTCTGTCACCACATCTCCTATCCCTGTCAGCAGCACTTTTCTCCTAGTCTGCCTGTACCGATAGCAGCCCTTCCTACTGGTCTGTCTCCCTCACCAGACCCAACTCCAGGTGGGATTTGGCTTTCCTTTCTCTACCATGATGTCCCTTCCATTAGTTCATCCTATAACTCTGACCAGCTCTTTGCCCACCTTCAGGCAGGGCTCCATGAATTCCCACTGCTCTGATACACAAAAGGGCCACCCCCTCCTTGCTATCCCAGCCTGTCTTGAACACATCCTATCTCACCACATGTCTATGATCCCAACCACACTGCATCCCCGCAACTGCACACAACTCCTCCCTTTACACTGCAGGCTTTTGTGTACCAGCACTTCAGAGAGGAACCCCAGAGAGATGATTTCCCAACCATCTGCCAGCTTTTATCACATGCTTACAGATCATTTCTGTGACACTACTGTATTCTTCACTTTAATTGACTTAGATTTTACTAGAAAGTAGTCAAGCTTGTTTATGTATCTCTAAGACAGTTAAAAAAGTCTGAAGTTCAATACAACTTTATTGAAAGTATCACTTCTGCTTTCAAGAACAATAACCATTTTCTACAACACACAGGTTGTCAGTTTCTAAGAATAACTACCTTCATTTTCCAAATTATTACAATATCCTGTGCAGCAGTGCTCTGGCACCTGCTGAAATGTCATGCTCTACTGTGTCATATGTATGTTCTGTCCTGCAGTACTTTACAAACCATCTGCACCACTTTACATGCTACTATTATGTCAGAACTACGCTAGCACATTACTACAGGAATTGCAAGAGGGACCTTAAACTAAAAATCACATTTCTCACTGCACAGTGCACTATGTTCACCACTTTATACATAAGACTCAGCATCATATGCCACTAGAGGAAGTTTAATAAGAATAAGCAAAATCACCATAAATGGGAATAAAATTTACACATTAACAAAATAGATGCACAGTCAGGCAAACTTGAAGTTGTTTGTTTTGGGGGTTGGATGGCTGAGGGTTTTTTTTTTCTTTAAATTAATAGCATCAGCAATAGTTCCCTCAGGGTGCTACGAGAGGCAGTTAAGCTTGTTACTTCATATACTACTGCAGTGCTAAGGCTGCAGAGCTGGGGCAGGAGAGGAGAGGGGCCTCTGCTATAAATAGGAAGCAGACAAATCCAGAAACTACTACAGCATCAACAGTTTCATGGAAACAGAAGTGTAACATAACTTGATAGAAGAGCACCACTATGAAGCCAGATCAGCATTACAAATTACCGTGAAAATGTAGATCTGAGCTGCTGAGCCACAGCAGCACCTAACACGAGCAGATCAGAGTTGTAATATAATAAATGGCAATGCACTGCTTTTAGCACATATCACTGGTGCTCCCCCTCCTCTTTTTTTAATTAAAAAAAAACCCTCTCAGGCTTCCAACAAGTTCTTGTTGCAAACGCAAGATGAACTTAGTACAAAAATAGTCTGCTGTAGTGTTTCATCTGCGTTATTCCACAGAGCTCAGCTCAATTACACAAGCGTCTGGTCATAACTCAGTGAATGAATGCTTGCTGCAGAATAATCTGCCCTTCAAGTGGCCCTTCAGAGAGCAGAAATGAGCAGCAGTGATTAGCTGCTAAGTTCCTAAGTGGAGTAAGGCTGCTTTCAAATTGATTTGTGAAGACTTGCTAACTTGGCAGCAGTGCAACCCATTGAAGCTACAATTAGCAGCAGGTGCAGCAGGAAATGATATGGCTTAAGTGTGTTCAAAGGGACAAAGTTGGGTGCTGGCAAGGCCAAGACACACAGAGAACAACCTGTCTCAGTGTCTCCACATCATCACAAAAAGGGGTATTCTGAATTAAAGAACTCTGGGTGCCATGGCAGGGATGTCAGCAATCTTCCTGATTTCCAGCTAATGATGGAAGAAGAGTTGGTTTTCAGTTTCACTATGCAAACACTGAGACTTCACATTACTCTGAATGCATTGCTCACAAGTCTCACCTGAGCAACAAAGCTATTAGTTTGAAATCTTTCAAAACACCAACCCTTAACAACACTGCACTGAACCACTCGCTGCACATCACAGAGCAGGGGACATGTTCTACAGCACATTAGCTCTTTACCACCTAGAGTCACAACTGGGTAAAGATCACTTCTCTAGAGCATTCGTTTAGGTGAGTGCCACAAACCATTTCAGTTCCAGAGCCCTGCACACACCTGTGGACACACAGATGCAAGGGCCGTATAAGAATACATTATCTCTGGTGCTATGAGTACAATAAAAAGGAGGTGATGACTCCATGTGAAAAACAGACTCAGGTATATAACTAGGCAAATTCAGGTATCTCAGAGAGGAACAGAAGAAAAGAAGGGCACAGAAATGGGACAACCCCATTACTTCTACAGTTATCTTGCAGAGAGAACAAAGCCTCCATGCTGCAGAGGCGTAAACCTGGCCATATCTGGCGCCACATGTTCAGTCAATTTTCTGTAATCTGGAATATCTGAGTTACTGTAACACTATCTTCAAATAATCCTCCAAAGACCCCACTAACAGCCCTGCTCTACTCTCCTGTATTTTCTCCTACCTTCCATATTACTACTGCCATACCTTCTTACTATTTCCAGTTCTCATTACATCCTTCCAGAATTATCAAAATTAGCAGAAAATTACACAAGCAAAATAAACTTGGATAGCTTTTATAATTTTAAGAAAAATCAGTTTACTTAAGAATTCAACATAATTTGAATTATTACTGTTCAGAAACAATTCTGGTAGGTTATTTCAGAGCTTCCTTGAACCAACTATCCTGACTAATTTATTCATAAATTAAAAGTTACAAATTCACTCTTTTGCTAAAACCGTCCTTTAAATAGCTCTCTTGCTGCTCTTTTAATGTTTCTAGAGAGCAAACAGGTTTTACCATTATTCTTCACTTTACTAGCTAAAAAAAAGATTAAAGCTCTTTCACAGTCACCTCTGGTACAACTGATTCTCCTTTTGTCTCATCCTTCTAATTGCCATCTTTTATACCTGTAGTCACTTGAGTTAATCTTTCCCCATGAGGGTGACCAAGTGTTATAATATTTAAGGGAAAATCTCAACAGTGTCATAGTGCTCCCACTTCCCTACTCTTGTATTACATCCAAGGACCCCACATGTACTGCAGCCATGTACCCAGACAAAACTGGTGGGTCTTTTGCCCTGAGTTCTGTGTAAGCTCCATAAAAATTTGACAGGTTTTACCTTGATTTTTAAGAGCCATCTTTGAACGTTCAACTGCATTATTCTATTACCTCATTCACATTATTCTTACTTGGTACACCATGGAAAAGATGGAGGTTTCCCAAGATTCTGTAAGCAGATCTGTGTCTTTTTGGAGACACTTTTCCCTCTTTCCTTTCTAGATTACAAGTGTTTTCATCCTCTCTCTTAAGGGAAAATAGTTTTTCTTTGAGTTCTCTCCCCCTCATTCCTGAAAGGATTTTTGAACAGTGAGCTATCAGCAACTTGTTTTTTATCTATTGTTAAATTTACTCCTGATCTCACATGTAATTATGTTATAATCAACTATACATGAGAAATAACAGAAAACACAAAACCTCAAATTTACATCAGAGTTTTAAGAGAGAAAATCAGCTTGAGAAAAAAAAAAAAAAAAGCTTTTACAGAGTACTAATGTCACATCCATTTTCCCTGAACTCTATAAATAACACACTAAGCTACAAGTTGCTGAAAAGATGTCATGTCTTGCATGACTTTGCTATTTGAGAAACACTGCTCACATTTTCACTTTAACAACTTAAACTTTCAGAATGACTCTAGCTAGCTTTGGATGAGATGACCTCCTGAGAATCATTCCAACCTGAATTACCACACTAACTGTTTTTATTTTCCCTCATTTACATATTGTTAAATTCCATTCTTCCTGCATTTTTACTTGTCTTCTCACTTGCTGATTAACTATTCAGGAATGAATCCTGTGAAATCACAAGATTGCCAGGATGGGAAAAGCTAATGAAAATCAGCTTTGCCAGACTAATAACACATTACTTCAAGAAATATAAACTTTTCTGAGCACTTCAGTCAGAACAGATTTTTCCCCTAACTTGAAAGTTTGCCACATTTCCCTTCCCAAGCTTCCCACCTCTGCCCTCCCCTGTAAAACACAAATGCTCTATGTAAATGGATAATAAAGCTTTGACACTAGCAAACTAATTCAGTCCAAATCTGCAACATTATCAGCAGTATCAGCTCTTTTCCTGCAGAATCATGAAGTATTCTATTAATTTATGTGCAAAGTTTCCATTATAGCAATATTTCGTTTTTCCAGCCCATAACTCTAAGCACAGAACAGCTTTCAAGACTGAGTGACAGTCCTCACTTGTTACCTCCTGCATAGCCACACTATGACCATCCACACTGAACAGCATGCACTCTAAAAAGATAAATCTGCAAAAGTGAGAAGGATGAGACATGCCAAGAGATAAAGTTCAATAAGATAGCTCGTCAAATGCAAAGCCAGTGTAATCCCAGAGTACTGACTTATCCACCAGACAACATCATCTTTCAAACTCCGACAGCACGAGCTGATACTAAGGCTTTAGGAATCAGAATTTCTATCTGTTCTGCATTCTCAAAAAACAGCTCAGCAAGGCAGCCTGACACTCAACCCAGTTTTAACGAATCTAATGAGTGAGTATTTCCAATATACTTCTGGAGGAACAACCATGTTGTACATTTACCATTCTTAAAGGAATATAGGTACTTTAGATGGTTTTTACAAGCAGGTACATTTACACATGTCAGGAGTTATGTACCAGCATTTTGGCACAACCTCCCTCCCTGGACAGTGTTTCAACAGCCTTCCCACCTTAAAAACCAGAACAACAGAAAATGACCAAATAGGATGCTTGCAAACAAACCTTGGATTTGAACTTCATGATCTTGTACTTTGGTGAAATGTTGTCATTAAATTCCTTGAAAACACTCATTATAGTTACTGGAGTCTCCGTCTCTTTACCAGTAGATAGGTCCATTTCCTCAAAAACAAAAGTGAGGTTTTACAAATTAACAAAAATTTTAAAAAAACCCTAAGTTTTCTAGTAATACTTCAAGACCACTTTATTTGCCAAGCAGCAAGACTAAGGGTAAAAATTTGTCTGCAGTTATTAGGGTCAGAGGAAGTCACAGGGCTCTACTCTGCAGCTCACATGTGATGTATTGTGTACACATTGTTTTTAACTTTACCACCTACATCAGATAACACTGGCTTCCAACAGCTTCCATAAACACACTGCTAAACTCACAACCTGCCATAAGCAGAATGAAAGGTACTTATGTTTGATGTGCTTAAAAGTCACACTTACTGTTTCACGTGGCAGCAGATAAACAGTTCTCTCAATATTTTTCACTGTCACACAGCAGCTGACATAGGTGGTTGCAGATTCAATCCAAACTTTGCCAAACAAAAATACCACACCTAAGGGAGAAGGGCAAAGAATTCAATATGCAGTTTCAAAATTTATCATTTCTAATCTTGCTGGAAGCAGCTTATAATGTATTCTTGCACTGAAACACAACCATTTCTGTGTTAGGGCCTTGAAAAACAAATCTTTCCGATGTATCAGCACATTCTAAATTGTTTTAAACATCAGCTTTACAAACAGACACCTGTATCATTCTTCATATCTCTACCTCCATTGCTATAGTAACACCTGGTATGTAAAATTCAAAATGGCATTACACAGCCAGTCTCAAAATTCTGTTCTGATATTCCATTGCTGCCTGTATTAGTTTGATAATCCCTGGAGAGAGGGAGGAAGGAGAGAGATGTCAGTAAAAGCTGAAGATTATCAGAATGCCTATGCTGTCAATCAATCCTCTAACATGTGCTATCTACAGTTTTTCACTCTTCAGCCAGACCAGTACAATTAACTCCTTTTCCCTACACTTCAGTACCATGAGACCAAGACTCTATTACCAATAAAACCTGTAGAAATACATTTTGAAGACAACAACTAGAAGCTGATCTGCTTTCAAGTGACTATTTTTAACAAATGAGGACACCAAAAGATGCATGACATTCCTAGGAATCCTGGATGCCAAGACAGCAGTTGTAACCAAGGGAGACACTCAGAACGATTATACAGAGCAGGATTAGTGGCAACCGAGTTCACTGTGGACAGTTACAGTACATGCACATCTCTGAGCCTAGAGAACTTGGCAATAACACAAAATGATGCAGACTGCTAATCAAATTATGTCAAACTTTAAAATAACATAGTACCAAGCCACCCAAATGTCACAAACAGCTTGCAAATTACAAGTACAAAAAACTTCCAAGTACAACTCAGAAACCTGGCTTTACCAAGTACCCTTCAAGCTCCAAACAATTTGGAATTTGATCATATGAAAGACACACTTTCTACAGCATACTATTGATGAAACCAGAAATACCCATGCTGAGACTTTCTCAGAAACGGGTTTTAATGCATAGAAGATTTTGGAATCTGCATTTCTCCTTGGCCTGGCAATGCACAAACAAGTCCTCGGTTAAGAGTTATAATTTATCTTTGCCAGGAGATCTATCAGGCATAAAGGCACCTTTCTTAATGCATTAGATCAAAGATAAATCAGTGAAGATGTAGTAAGATGGATGACAGAGTCAAAGTGACAGGCTATGAAAAATCATTTTCTGAGTGCTTGGAATAGATGTGAACAAGACTACTTTTGTCAAGGATAGAGAATGCTGAGGTTTTGAAGATGATGAGAGCAAGGATACAAGCTTCAGCTGCACAAAGTATCTTAAGAAATTTTAATACAGAGGCAATCTTGAAGATTTAGACAGTTTGAATAGAAGTATTGAGAAAGAGCTCCAATTGCAGATCTAAGTGACAGGGAAGATGAAGTTCTTGTCCCCAGCAATCTTTTACTTTTTTGTTAAGGGATAAAAAAAACCCACCTCAGATAGGTTTGTATCATACAGAAAGATGAAACTGTGAGAGAGACCACAAAACAGTAGCTGACTGCTTGAACAGGCAGAAATATTAAGAGCATGGAGTAGTTAATCTGTCAGAGGAGTACATATAAGCAGGGGAGGTAGAAAGAAGGATACGTGAGCCAGTCAAAGACAGGGTAAAAAGCTGCCCAGATTGCAAAGACAAACTCCTATCAACTCTAGCACAGACAAGTAAGTGGTCTTAATAACCAGACTTCACAGAATCACATTAATTTAGAATGGAAGGAACCTTTTGAGATCATGCAGTTGAACACAGTATCACCCCCACAGACAGTAAAAGCAGAACTAACTTTAAAGACTTTTCAGAGACACTTCACGCAAAAAACAAAAAAAAACAAAAAAAACACCCCCCAAAAAAAAAAAGCAATGTAGAGGTATTAGACCCTATCCCCTGCAAGACTATGGAAAGAAGAAAGAAAGAAAAAATACAAATAAATCAAAGCCTGTGAGAAGAAAGACCATGCTACTATATGAACCAAAAGGTAAAAAAAGTCAAGTCACAGAGAAAATGTCTTGCAGAGGGGAAAAAAATAAGGGCAGGTTTTATTCATTATTTCTTTAAAATGTTAATAGGATCACAATTCTTGAGTTCTCTGCCTAAGACCATAAAGGGAATTATGAAAAGTAAGGCTCCAAAAAATCATTAAGTTTGAAAGAGTCTTATGATTATGCTATAGTATTTACTCTTCAGGCAATGCATTTGACATCACAGCAAATGAGGCATAAACAAAGATCATGAACATGTTAAACAAAAAGCAATATCAAAATTTTCCCTTCTACATTACTAATTGAAAACAGGTGCAGTCTTTATTATTCAATCCTGAAAAAGTCATAATGAGAAAAAAACACTCCTTGCATGCGAGGAACAGAAATCCTTTCATAATTATGTTCCATTCAGCAATCACTGACTTAAAAGACAAAAAAAAGGAAAAATAACAATAGCGGGTTCTTTAAAAGTAGCAATTTTATATTAGAGCTATTGATTTCATCAAGATATCTATGATTATTACCACCCCCATCACCAAGCTGTTCAGCCCAGCACAGTCTCATATTTAAGTTTGGCATCCCAACTCACAACAAAAGGTGTTATCAAAGAAATGTATCTGATTCAATGCTTAAAGCTTCAACCGAAAAAAACCTCCAACAACATGTGAAAGAACCTTCTGGTAAACACACATGAAGCACAAAGTATAAACCCAAGATCCTAAAGCTGCTGATGAAATGAGGGGAGAGATGGGACGTGCTCATAACAGATGTGAACACAAATTGTTTTGTCAGAGCTAAGATGAGAATGATGCAATTTGAAGATTATGAGAGCTAGGATTCGCACTTCAACTGCACAGAGTATTTTACCAATCTTAATTCAAAGACAATCTTGCAGATTTAGTTTGAATTAGGGAATAAGAAATACAAGACAGACCTGGTATTTTTCCACCTTCCTCTCTTGACAGACATACCTTTCCTTTGTATAAAATCATGCAGCTTCTATGGTACAGGATTTTTAGTCATCCACGTGAATTTTAAGTTACTTTTCCAAAAACAAGAAAGCATGCTCAGTCGTTGCATCACTGAGCAAGAAATTAACAACTTCAGCTTGTTCCCAGAGCATAGAAGATTTTAAGGACAATGGGTCACCAACACTGGACAGTGCCAGTAAGTCCCTTTTACTTCCCTACCTCTATACTAGGCCAAGATATGACACTCTTCTCCCACTCACAGTGCCCTGCTCTGCAGACAGAGGTGCAGAAAAACAAGAGATGAACATCTTGGAGCACAGAGATGCAGGGAACTGGATATAATTCAGTCAAGTCTGAAAACCCCAATTTTCAAAAAAGAAAATCTGAACTAAAAGGATCAGATCAGCATTTTCTGCCTTTAACTGAACAGTTACCTGGCTGACTGAACTGATCTTCATAAGCATCCAGCCAATAAAACCTTAAGACTTGATCATCACTTCCCCCATTCACAAGCGGAAGGAGATTGGGGTCCAGCTGAACTTCTGTTGCTACTAGATCAGCTTCGTCCTCATCAATTCCATCCCAACCTGAGAAACCTGGGAGAGAACAACTTCTGCAGGTTTTGCAGAAGAATAAAAAAAAAAACCAATTAGATAATTGTAAACAATTAATTAAAATTGTGCCTTTGCAATAATCATCATTTTGCTTTTTTTCTAGGCCTCCACCTTTTGTTTTTCTTTCCACTACCAAGCAGCATTCCCAACAGCTGGGTTTCCTCAGGTTTCTTCTGAAAAGAGGGATGGAGTGACAGAAACCCACATTTAAGTATGATTCTTGATACATCACACAAAGGCTTTAAAAATCAGTCAGCTGGTATTTCAGCCTTGGTCACTTCAAGTCTTTACATATCAAATATGACCATCCATCTATACAAGTTGCTTAGTGGTAACAATGGATTATTTCAATGAAACTACCTTTTCAGTCATTAGATGTTTAGGTCTTTTTCATCATTCAATTACGTTACCGTTTGAAATATTTTCTTATGGAAACATATGATTCAAGATTTTCCAAACAATTAAAAAAACAAATGGGGAAAAGCCCACCTTTTTTCCTATTTCCAAAGACATAGCTGTTCACCATTACTTTTAGCAACAAAACTTTTACCTACATCTATTACAAAATACTTTCAGATTCACTTAGAATAAGTATTGTTAGAAATTCCTTGTTTTTGCTTACTGACATCAAAGTTCAGTATTTAACACCTACATTGAGTCACCTCAGTGTGCTGAAATACATGGTGTTACATGCTAGATCCCAAAAACATCAAATATTTTTCAATTAAATAGCTATCAGCACATTACCACTCTTAACGTAACTACAATAAAAAAAGCATTGCATAGCATTATTACCATTCTGTCTATATCACAACTATCCCTTTGGCAAAGACAATTATGAAGCTAAATCTAAGGTTTATGAAAATTGAGAGCCTTCTTAGCGGAAGAAAAAGGGAAAAAAAAAAGAGATTCTTACAAGACAGATGTCTCCTTCTCTGATTCAAGCTGCTCAGTCTCTTTCTTCTCAATTTCATTGTCTCTTTTCAAGCTTTCAGCTGTCTCAGGTATAGTTTCCACATGCTCTGCTTCCATAGGTTCATCAAAGTCCTCCTCATCAAAATTCATCATTTCCTGATCATCATCTGGAAGTGCTGCAGGTAGAACTAAAGGCTTGAATCATTAAAATTACACACTGCATACTACAGCAGTATGCAGTGATAGCACACTACAAGCATGACCACAATATACAGTATTAAGAGAGAAAAAAAGTGTCACATTTAAGCTATCTAAAATAGTATAATTTAACAGGTGTTTTAACACTACTATACTATATTTAAAGAGTTTCCAGAACTGGATTTTGAATTACTTTTGATACCTTTAGTAGTTTTCTCTCCTACTGCCTTCACTATTCCCTCATTTTCTACAGGTTTTTGCACATGTTTGGTGTCCTCATTTTCAGAGACTCTGACAGATTTTGCCGTATAATTGGGATGTTTAGGATGAAATGCAGCTGGAGGAAGAGTTTCCTTTCTGACATGAGCAGAAGCTTTCTTTGATATAGAGGTGATTACCTGAAAAACATTTCCACCATGAGTTAAAAATAATCTTTTAAGAGCAAAGAAAGAAAAAATAAATAATGAAACCTTTCACTTGCTATTTGCAGATCTAGTAACCAGGGCTAGAGGAAAACTTCCACATATTTTGCACCATTACCCCCTCTTATTACATCTCCCTTTATTTTTCCAATTGCTTTTCATTTTGAACACAACTGCTGAGTAGAACTGGTGATTATTTTCAATGTTAAGAGTTGATGTCACACAAGGTTTCATAAATCAGATGTGTCTACACTACTCCATTTTCCTTCTACAGACCATTACAAACTATCTCATTGTATTTCCAGTTATAAAGTCCCTTGCATTTACCAGAAGTCCTAACAAAATGCTGGCCTTCCATCCTTAGCAGCCCATCCTCCTTTCACTCCAAAGTCCTCCACTAGGGAAAACTTCTAACCATAGCTTCAATTTTCCATTTGTTTTCCATTTCTGCAAACAATTGGCTTCTTATCCTTTTCCACGCTCCTGCTTATTTCACCTCCCATCATCCTCTCTTTACCACAAGGGTCTTTTCTATCTTTGGAAAAGAGACAGAGAAGAAACTCACCTTCATGTGATGCACTGACCATTGTAACAACAGTTTTACCTGTCAAATGTAACAGCCACAAACACCTACGTATACTACAGACACAACACTAATTGTACTGATTGTGTGTTCACACGAAAGGAGATGTGGAAAAAAGTACCAAGTTACACTGTAACACTGCTATGGAAGCTAAGGAGAAAGTTAATTTGCAGGAGAAATAAAAGCCAACAGTATACTAATCAAAAAAAACCACAGATTAGTGCTAATCAATAAGAACATCTTTCTTTTCCCCTTTACCTTAGAAGTTTGGGACGGCACAGAGAAAGGATTGCGTGGTACTCCAGCAGATCTTTTCCTTTTCAGCATTATAATTGGTGGTGGACTTAGCTGAACTGTCTGAATATTGAAAGAACAGTGAAAGTGACAAAAGGAAGAGCTGTTTAGTGGTTTCTTCTGCCTTGGTTAGTAACATTTTTCCATCAAAGAGAAAGAGGGACACCAATATTTTTTGCTGATGAAGAAAACACCTCCTGATACAAAACTCAACTCCATAAAATAATGTTACCTGAGCAATCAGCCCATGAAGACACACTAGATGTTTTTGTGGAGGAAACTATCTGAGAAAAACTGCCATCAGTAAGTGAGACAGTTTTCAAACTGGGAATTTCAATAGCTAACCATGCCTTTACTGCACAAGTATCAGAATAACTTGTGTTGTTTCTCACGTCTGCTGAAGCAGTAGTATTGAACATACATGCCTTATGAAAGGCAGAAGTGCTCTTTCAGCACTGTTCCACTAGAGAAAAACACATTTTAACTTATTTACATGTACAGGTATTTTATTCTCTAACCTTATTAACAGCCAATAACATAAGAAATTTTACAAAACAAACAACAACAACAAAAAAATCAGTAGCCAACAAGTATTTAAGTGAATAGAAACCATCGTGTAATTATTAGCATTATTTTCCCTAATCAATGCTCTACAAATTTGACAGCATTAAAATGCATTTCTTTAATGATACTGGGAGGGGAGCAGGGGGAGCGGACAACAGATTCAGTATCTCACCACTACAGCAATTTCAACATTTGCATGTGAGCAATCCTTTTGGTTTTAAGAATCTTGCTGAAAGAGCATTAGGTATTTGAGACAGTCCAACCCTGTCACAGCAGCCACCCTGCACTCCTGCCTCCGAGGGAATGTTAACCTGGTTCTCTGCAGCAAATAGTGGGAAGCAGGAGGCAGACAGAGGTTCAGGTTATATCACCTGCTGAAACAGTGCTCCCTCAGCTCCTCCACATAGGTCAGATGGAGATGTCCTACAGTTCCCTGGCTGAGGGGTGGTGACAGATACACAGCACACAGTTCAGAGGCAGCCAAGTCCTCTTTCACTCCACAGTGACTAAAACTCTGAAGGCTGCATTAGCTCAGGCTCCACACCATCTAACTAGAAACCATTTGTAATCAGGTCGTAGAGGTATTGCCTTATGAAGCAATACAGTCATGCAACATCTGCATGTTGCATGTATCTGCATGGTGGAGACAACAGGCCAACAGCACACACAGGTGGAATATATCAATGAGATGTGCTATGGAGGAAATCAGATTGTCTAGTTTCACAAAAAACTGCCTTTTCTTGGTATGTTCCATGACAAATTAATGGATTAAGGTTGTTTCCACCAGATTTTATTAACATACTTACTTCAGCACTAATATCTTGAAGAATATCCCCAAGTAAATCATCCTTGGACAGGTCCACAGTTTTCTGTAAGGTAAGATTAGCCAAACAGTTCTGTTATATGTGCAAACCCCATCAGAAGAATAGCAGTAAATGACTAGAGGATTTCCACAAAACACACACAGTGTTTTCAGAAATGCTCCATACACAAGAGATCGTAATAGAAGTTTATCTTGCTAGACAAAAGAAACTAAAATGAGCCTTTGGTTTACTCCACTCCCACTAAAACTGCGAACAAGTCAGAAATATTTAAATTCAAAAAATGTAAAAACTTACATCTGTGTTTTTCTTCCCAGCACTGGCCATAAACATAGATTTAATTGTGTTTGACTTGGACACCACAGGTTTCTTCACGTTCTTTTTATCAGTTGTAGATGTTCTGCCACCTTTTCCTACCAAAACAAAAAATTAAAATTTGTGAAATTTACATAAGAAAAGTTCAGTGTTTACAGGTCCAGTTATTATCAGGGACAGATAGCAAAGGTAGTCTACTTCTATCTTTACACTTCTGGCTGAAGTGAAGCCTAGTCATCTTTCAGCTTTATAGCAGCTGTTGTGCACACACAAAAAGCCCTCTCAACACCCTGTGTTTCCTAGTCATGTTAGATATGCCTTTTGCATACTCCAGAAAAAGCACAAAGATACTTTACATGGAAGCATCTCCGGGGGAAAAAATGAAGGGTCCAGGAGTTTGGCACTAGGCTTGGATTCTCAACATCAGGCTCAATTCCTCAGTTTGTCACCAGATCCCATAAAAAAGTTGAGAAAATCACATGAGCCTAGATTCTTACAAACATGAAAGTATTTCAGTGGTTAAGAGAGACCACACATCTTTTAGGCACCAGCTTTGAAAACCAAGACTCCTTCCAGATGCATTTGCTCTAGAAGTGAATCCCCATTCCACAGATAAGCGCGAGCAGCAGTGCCCAAATTGTGCTGAAGCAGCTAACAGTGATGTGACTTCAATTTGTGACCCTCCATCCTCTGCATCACCAGGGCTGAACAAAATCCAGGCACAGAATGACAGAGCTTCAAGTAATCTGTCATTTGGCCATATTTACGTCATATACTGATGAGAGGAAGTTGCCCATTTTGGGCAACTTTTAAAAGACCCTGGCAGACATTGTTCAGTGGTCATATGCAAGTTACCTTTCTTATTGGAACTAAGAGCATCATCATCCAGATCTTCATCAAATATTTCCCTTCCATCTTCTACATAACCTATCCCATCTGTAGAAAAATTATTAAAAAATTGCAGTTTAAATTCTGTCTTCTGATAGTCCTGGATTTTTTTACATATTTAACAGTTTTCCCCCTTTAATATAGAGCAAAAGTTACAAAAGCAAGTATTAAAAACTACAGCACTCTTAGCTCTATCTTTTATTAGACTAAATATATTCTTATATGTTTCAATAGAAATTACAATTTTATTAAAAAAAGTACTGTTACTGGTTACACTGATAACTGGAAATAAAATTTCAAGAACAAGTCTTCATGGAAAAATATTTTCATTACAATCCTTACAGACTGCTATGAGAACAAAGCAAATATTAATTTCCATTAAAAGACTGCCATTCTCTTGTCTCCTAAAACAATTTTTAAAGAATGTACTAACAATAACTTACCTCAAAGCATGAACATTATGAAGTCTAATTGAGTTATAACATTAGAACCAAAATAACCCTCCAAATTAATCTTAACTTACCATCATCAACAATCCAGTCATCATCCTGACGATCTCTGACCATCTTGGAGTATTCATCCTCATCTATTTCATCATAAACACCCGTGAACTCCTCAACCTACAGTTAAGGTAAACTGAGGATTAACAGTTTCCATACCATCAATACTGCAAATCATCAGTCAGAACATAGAAGCTCCCAAGAATGCACGTAGGGCTCTTACACTGCTACACTGTTCACAACTAGTAAGCACAGTTATTCATTAAGTTTCTTTTTTGGAAGAGATAAAAGGTAAGTTATCAATTTTTAAAGTTATCACAGTATACTGAAACTCAAAATCTACTGAAGTACTGGCAGAGATTTCATTGAAAATTACTTGCTTTATTGCTCATTTCATATTACCAAAAAAAAAATTTAAAAAATAAAAAGCCTAGCAGCGGAGACTTCTGACCTTGGCTCTACTCTCAAACACCAGCCTGAGCCCAGTGAAAAGGAAAGGGATTTGATGTACCCAAGCAGGGTGCTCGAAGAAAATTTGCATGTTAATGATCTACAGACTTCTGGTTTCTTTACATTTATTCACCTCAATGAGGAAGTCACTTCCTGTTGCCATCACGATTGGACAATGTTACAGTATCAATGTTACACTGCCAGATTTCAGTTCCACCACTTAAATTTTGGTCTCTTTGTAGAGACACAGCATATCAATATTAATGGATTTTAGTCATGTAAAGCTCTGAAATTAAAGTTTAAAATCAAGTGTGATAAAAAAAAAAAAAGTACTTCCTGTCATAACATTAACTGTGCAATTTTAAAAATTAGTCCTTCCCTGTGGCATACCTCTCAAGCAATGGTAGGCATGTCTGACTTGCAGTTAACAAAACTGGGTTAGTTTTGAAAACAGAAATAAACAAATAAATTATATTAGAAAGCAGAAAACTACAGCTACATTAAGGAAAACACACTATTAAAAACACAAAAGCTTATCTGAAAGGCTTGTTTGGTTTCCCATAACTTTTACATATCTATAAATGGTGTTTAAGCTTCTCAGCCCACATTCCCTTTTAATCAAGAAGAAAAGATGAGGAATTTTCACCTCATATTTTAATTTTTCCCCAGCTTTGGCTTTTTTCAGACGTTCAAGTGCTTCTTGCTGGCCCTTTCTATTCTTCCTCTCACGCCTAGAACGTGATGCTGCAAAACTTCCGGACTCACTCATATCTGTATTTAATTAGAAACAACAGAAATTAGTTTAACAATGAGCTGTTAGCTTTGGTACTTAAGTGTTCAGTGATGCACTAATAGATGACTGTAGTTTTGCTTAAAACCAAAACCTACTTGGCTAAAAGCACAGTCACAGATGGCTCTTCCTCAGCCAATTCTGGAATGATACTGAAGGCATGGCCTGACAGGGAGCTCAAACAGCCCTCTCATGCCAGCTCGCGCTCAGTGTGAAGCCACCACCTAGATTTCCAAAGCACCTCTCAAATCTCATCAGCCTTTCCCTGGCATCCCCCCCATCCCTTCCTTGGGAATTTCCAGCTCCTTTTATTTTGCATGTCTCCATGACAACTCAGGAATACCAGACTTAGAGAAGGCCTACACTGCTACAAAGCAGTGATGTTTTTAGGCGGTTTCACGGTGTTTGAGTGTGACTAGATTGAGACAAACTAGTAAACTGTTGACAGCTGACACCCCATTTCCTTTTCCACTTCCTTCCCTTCCAAATGCTCTCCCCAGCAAGTTGCTTTCTGCTTCTCCTGACCTTTCTTCTTCCTCTTCATTTGGGTGAGGAACATTTATCTGACCACAGGGGAACAAATGGATCCAATCCAACTTCTAAAAGCAAACAGACAGCCCAGGGACGAGGCTGCGGGTTCAGCCCGAGGAGCCGCATACCCCGTGCAGGCAGGAGACCCAAGGCTGGCCAGAGGAGCAGGGCAGTCCCCTCCTGGTGGCAGCAGGACATCACCCTGTGAACACAGCTGCACCCCGGCAGCGCAGCCGAAAGAAGTCCGGATTTGTATTGCTAAGGGCTGGGGTAAAAAGGGCATTTACACTGCCTGCCGCCCCATGAGGGAGAACTGCAAAGACGGACCACTTTGGGAGCGCTTATCTTCCGCCAATCCTTCACCTTTACTGTACGCCAGCGCCTCAGGCAAGGCGTTCCTCTGGGACAAGCGCGTTTCCAGCTCCAGCCGGGACCACCCGCGCCCGCCGCTGCCCCTCGCGCCGAGAGCGCT